CCGGGCGCCGAGCCCGCGGCCGCCGCACACTTTGCAGCTGGAGGGCGAAGTTCCTGCCGGGACTGTCCCCGGCAGCCGGCCGCCCGCACCCACCTGCTTCGGCGAACGTGATGATCTCCGAGGTCTGCTCCAGGAGTTCATTCATTTCTGCCCTGCGCCCGATGTCGTCCTCGATCTCCACGTACCCGTCCTCGCCCACTTTGCCCACATGAAGCTTCCGGATGGCGTTCAGGAGCGCCGCCTTGGGCACCGGCTGCGTGACCTCGGGTCTCTTCTTCAAGTGCAGCATGTTCAAGATGTGCCTTTTGACGGCCTCCACCATGTCGGCCGGCTGGGAGCTGGGTACCTCCTTGGGGAGCGCGGCCAGCGCGCACGCCGGGCACGCCGGGTCTGCGCCGGGGCCCTCGGCGCCCGGGGTGGGCGAGCTCCGCACCAGCATCCAGCAAGTCGCCAGCAGAAAGCCCCGCAGCCCGAGCCAGGGCATCCTGGCAGCCCGAGTTGTTGTGATGGCCTTTTTCAAAGGCCCGGCGTTTCCTCCCCCTCACGGCACAGGTTTTGTGTGTGTGTGTGTGTGTGTGTGTGTGTGTGTGTGTACGCGTGTGCGCGCGCGCGTGTGAGTGAGTGAGTGAGTGAGTGAATGTGACTTGTGAGTGTGGGTGCCCGCGCGTGTGGTTTCTGGATCGTTGCTGTGTTGTGCTGTGTTGTGTCCTCCTCTTCTTCAGCAAATTCTCTGGAAGAAGAACAAAAAGTTTTCTGTGAAGTTTGGTTTGCAGGTTCCCTCTCGGAATGCAGTGAGTGCTGTCCGTTGTGGCTGTCAGGGAGGAGAATCCTGACTGTCTCCGAGTAGGAGAGAAGGAGGGAGGGAGAGAGGGAGGCAGGGGGGAGGGAGGAGGAGAGGGAGGGAGGGAGGGAGGGAGGGAGAGACAAGGGGGGGAGAAAGACAGAGACAGAGAGAGGGAGGGAGAGAGACCGGGAGAGAGGAGAGAGAAGGAAGAGAGGGAGAGGAAGGGGGGAGAGGGAGGGAGGAAGAAAGAGAGAGAGGGAGAGAAAGAGAGCGATTGGCCCTAAGTGAGTGAGTGAATGGGAGCGGGAGGGAGTTTGTCTGCGAGTTAAGGCTCTGATTAGGGAGGGAGGGAGGGACAGCCCGTTTTCTGACAGGCTGCCTTCATTCTGCTCACTGCTCCCTCACACACACCTCTCTTCACAGAGCACCATTCTCTGGGGTTCCACTGTCCCTTCGGAATACATTCTCCTCATTTTGCCCGACTTCTTTCTTTCTTCTTTTTCTGGCCAACCCCTTGCTTCACCTTCTTCCTCTTTTAGCAGAGGCAGGCAGGCGCGCGCGCGCGTGCGTGCGTGCGTGCGTGTGTGTGTGTGTGTGTGTGTGTGCGCACACAGACAGAAATTACTCAACAGACAGGGATGACTTGATTGGAAAAGTATGCCCCTAGTGCTCCTCCACCCCACATCAAGGCAGCCCCAGGTGAGGATCTGCCCACCTGGCCCAGAAGGTGGTGCTGAGGAACCTCTGAGGGTCTGTCTGCCTGCCTGCCTGCCTGCCAGGGATGGAGCCCAAGGAGAGGGACTACAGAACAGAGCTAGCAGCTTTGACCAATTGTTCTGGCCTCAAAGAATCTGAGAGGAGACGTTCCTTTCCCCCCATTCATTCATATTTAAATGCCCAGGGTTATCAACACTGGCAGGTGATCTGAGGGAAATGTAATAGAACTTTTGTTTGGGGTCATATAACACACTATACTTTTCCCAACAGCCAAATGTGGCAGGGTATTGAAAGATCCCAAGGGCAGGCTGCATTTGACATGCCCTGTCCCAAGCAGTTACTTTCCCATCTCCTTTTTAGCTCGCCCACCCCCCTCCTCTGCCCTGAGCACTGTCACACTCACAAATGACTGCCGCTCACTTGTTGGCCCTGACTTTATCAGATAATATGCAAAATGCCTTTGGTCTCTCCCACATCGTTTTAGTTTTATACAAGCTGTGTGCTCCTAGATTTGAATAACTGATCCTAGGGGGGAGCCTTACTGGCATATCATTTTCTCTGTAGGGGTGTGTTCAGTGTGTCCCCAACCCTGTCTCCACCAGTACATTCATGGGCGGGCTCCTAATCACTACTGTCTGCCGCAGAAAAAGAGCAGAGATGAACTCATCATGGATTTCAGTATCCACAGAAGAAGGAAAATATGAACTTCGAAACAGTGCCTTTCTGAGGTTTGTTGTTGTTGTTATTGCTGTTTAATCTTTCCTCCCAATTTTCTTTTTCATTTTCTGCCGTACTGCTTTCATCTTTCAGAAGTCCATCTGTTCAAGCTTTCCTTCCCTCTCAGTTTCTTTCCCACACAGGAGCCCTCTCTGTTTCTGTAGACCAACTCAGCTTTTATCTGGCACCTAGTGTATACAGAGCATTCGAGTCAAGCCATGCACTTTGGGGGGGGGGGGAAGGTAATAAAAACCATTACAACAAGCTTAAGATCTAAGAACAAGGGGAGGAGATTGAGAAAGTGGTGGCACACGGTTAAAATGACCTTCCAGTTTGCATGGGTAGCAATGCTTGCCTGAGTTGGTTCCCCTTTCCCCAAACAACTCTTCGCAAGACTCTTTCTGTGACAAGTCATCTATCCCTTTGGGGCTTTCAGCTCTAGGAAGAGCAACGACTCTAATAGCTAAGACTTGGCCAACACTGCCCCAAACACCTCTAGTTTTGGAAAGGGGCAATGTAACAACTGGGGAGCATTGGTATTATAATTGTTTAACAAAACATCTTTGGAATATAAGACAACATAATCTGCCAGATACAGTACCCAAAGCACTTGGTAGTCCAATTAAATTTTACAAGAGACTCTGAAACAGAACTAAAAGCTTAATGACTCAGAACCACTCACAAGTGCTAATAGTAGCCCTAAGAGAAGTGCAACTTCTCAATATTTGGATGGCCTCTATACGTGAATATGTGTGTGTTCCTTAAATTTACGCTTGACAACTCCTAAAAATAGTTTTCTCTCTGGCATATGGGCTCGTGTGTCTGTGCTGAGTGGGCTGCATAAACACACTATTTGCATGCTCCAGGGCGATTCAAAGCTGCAGTAACCTGCCTGACGAATATGAAAAGGTACAAATCACAACTCACAGAGATGTGCCAATAAGTTGTAAAACCCCTCCTAGCCCTTCCGATTATGAATGTGGAAATAGCGCAGAAGCAAGAGTTAAAAGCATTACCTTTCTGGTCCCTTGTCTTTCACCAGACTCTTGTATCATGTGGTTCAGAGCTGTCCGAGTTCCTCTTCACGGTATTGGCACTGGGAAGTTTTATACTGTACTACTTATTTGTACACTCACACATTGGTACCACTCAAACAGAGGAGGGCTGGGGCTTTGTTGGGGATTGGTTAGAATCAGCATGACATCAGCGGATGACTGGTTTTTCCAGTGTGAGACATATTTCATAATTCATTATCTAATGGAAAGTCCTGCTTGGCTGCCTGTGACAGTGCTGGGTGATACACGGAGCTAGTGAATCCTCTGGCTGTGAGAAGGACCGTTTAGAAAAGAGTGAAGTCAGGCAAAGACAGTTCCCGGATATCCAACTTTCAACTTCCCTTGTACTGCTCTCATACACGCCTGCTTAGATTCGGCTTCAGTTGCCTGTCTTCCCATGAACCATCTGGGACTTCATAAAGTTGCCTCTTTCTACAAAGCAGTTTCTTCTGTCTTACAAGATTCTGTTGTTTGGTGTTTTTCTTTAAGAAAAATGGATCCTTCAGGATGAATCAGAAACAGAGACACACCCATAGGGTGATGGGCTCTCCTCCCCTGACCTAACTGTTACTTTACATCTTTAAACTGAAGGCCTGCTTCATAAATCATTTATCACCAAGAACTCTGGAAATAGTTATTCTTTACCATTGAACTTTATCAGTATCCTTCCCAGGTTTTGTAGAATCATAGGCTACTAACCAGCAAAGAGGTGGGGGGAGGGGGGAGAATTCAGAGGTATCAAGTTCTTGACAAGAACTTCATGTCCTATGGTTTTGAAAATGTTAACATGAATTAGTGTGGGGGGGGGCATTTTTCACATTCTTTGAAATTAGGAATAAACTGGTCAGGGTTTGGTTTTGTTGTTCTCTGAGGGTGGGGCGTCATTGTTGGCAGGCCTGGGAAAGGAGGCAGGAGAACGGAATCCTCAGTCAAAAATGGTGGAGACGAGTTCTTTGAAGCAGTCTGAGTCGAAGCATAAGCCAGATTCTCATGACAAGTTGGATAAAATGTGCAAAATTGGCAGCTAATGAAAGCCATATGACCAGATATGTTGTTTTGCATGCAGGATTTAACATGCATAAAATAAACTTTTCACTGTGCCCACAAGCAAAATATAGAGGCTCTGGCCTCCTGATGTGTGGCTTAAGCAGGTTCCTTTAGGGCACCAGAAGAAGTTTGCTGTACGAGAGTGTCTCTCCGAGCTAAATACACAGAAAGGGTGTATGCTGAGCTGTACTTAGCCAAACCCTCTGTTGTCAATACCTACTACTTCTTGTGACCCAACAGGACAGGGTAGGACTGCCTGGAGGATTTCCAAAGCTGTCAATATTTAGGGGAGGCGACTGCCACATCTTTCTCCCGTGGAGCAGCCTGGGGGGTTGGAACTAGTAACCTTTCAGGCCGCACATCCAGGTGCTTGACTCAGGGCACCACCCGGGCTTCTTAGCTGCCTAACCAGGATTGTGGCCCTGGGTGGGGGCGGGGTGGGCGTGGAATTTAGCTACTGGATATATAGAAATGAAGTAGGACATAAAGTCATTAGGCGGTAGAAGAAATCTGAGAAGAAAAGACACAAATACGTGAATCCCAAATCTGCCCACCAATTTCAGCATTAAAAACAAAAGCCAAAATACAATCTCACTGTCCTCGAGCGAGCCCAGATAAACTTAAACTGCCTCCAGGAGAAAGGTCTTTAACCACCTTCTAGCTAAGCACTAGACTCCAGTGACTAGAGGGTCAGGTGGGGCAAGGGCTGTGGGACAGCTTAACTTGTCCCCTCCCCCACCCAGGCACTAAGGTGTCCCCGCAAACACTGGGGTGTTTATGAGTTTCTGGGCACAAAAACAAATCTGGACCAGCCCCCAGTTCCACCGGGCATTCACTATGACTGACTTCCGGCCTCTGGGTTCTCATCTGTAAAATGGGAGCAATAGTCCTAACCTGCAAAGGACAGCACAGTGTGTAAGAAACAAGGTGCTGTTTCTGAACTGTGTGTTGGGTCCCATACACGTTTGTATGCCGGGAACCTGCAACACGAGGGGAGCCACCCACAGTTGTGAGTTGGCAACCTCATTATCCGTCTGCAGCCACATGGGGCCCACCTGCCAGGCCAGCCTGGCCACCAGCTTTGGTCTCATGAATCGGCACCCTCACGTGTGAACTTCGATGGAAGTGACTTCCTCGGTAGAAATTAAAATGGGAAGAGTAACAAAGCAAGCAAACATACTAACACCAGGTTGCTGTGAAGTCCAGTCCAACTCGCGGTGACCCGTGTGTTACAGAGCAGAACTGACTTCAAGGTCGCCTGGGCCGAAAGCTTTCCGGAAAGCAGACTGCCAGGCCTTTCTTCGGACAGGCATCTTTGGGTGGGTTCCAAGGGCCAGCCTTTAGGTGAGTGGTCCAAGCAAGCACAAGCCGTTTGTGCCGCCCAGGGGGTCTTTTGGAGGACGCCAGCAGGTTACAATAACTGCGGGGGATTGATTCGGAGTTGGGAATGATCGTTTCCCTTCCAAACTGGAGGGCCCCGGGGTATAAACTGGTCAGCCCAGCTCCAGACAGGAATCTCTCTTTTTTTGCCTTCCTCGCTTTGGTTTCTGTTTCACTTCCGGCCCCATTCCCAGGCAGCTTCCCCGCACCCCATCCCGGCCGCGCCAGGCTGCTCGGCGGCGCAGCCACCGTACCTAGAGCAGCACCTGCTGGCAGCTCCCGGGGAGCGCGCCGACCGACCGGCCGACCGGCCGCTGGCCGCTCCCGGCAAGCCCGCGCCGGGAGCCCGAGCCAAGCCGTGCTGGGCGGCCGCCTCTATTTTTACCCCGAGACCAGCAAGGGCAACTTCTTTTAAAAGGTGCTCTTGATTTGATTCCTCCCCCCCGCCTTTTGGCAGCTAAAACATTGAGGGAAAGGGGGGGGGGGGAGCATCAGTGTTCAGCGAGGGCAGCTGGGAACCTCTGAGTCTGGCCCTCCGTGCCAGGGACACAAACCACAGCAAATGTCAGCGACGGGGACCTCCCGTTGGGGCGTCGGTCGGGTTCCACCTGGGCCAGCGGCGAGCCAGCCGGGGAACCCGCCCCGGCGCCCAGGGAAGTGGCCCGCTGCCACGGCGTCGGTCACCTCGTGGAGGCCGCCTGATTTAGTGGCTGATTTAGTGGCCCTTGCACAAAGCTCCCCGCGACACTGGGGAACACTGGCCTGTCTCTGTTCTCGCCCGGAGGAGCAGCCCCGAAAGAGCCCGGCGGAGCAGCTTGCTGGGAGCAGGAGCCGGGAGGGAACCGGCAGTACCTTCTTTTACTGTAATTGCAAAAGGAACGACGTGCCAGCGATGTATATTTAGAAGTTGTATGTTTCTACTTTTATGTAAATGGAGCAATTAGGGCCCTTCTTGCTGCTGCTGCTAACGCCAATGCCTGTGCATCGCTGGGGAGCTGGTGTTTTCAATCACAATTAATGAGCTGGTCAAAAAACAAAGTTCCTTTAAGGATAAGAGCTCCATGGGGCGCAGGAGGAAGTGACTGGCATTCGTGTGCCTCCCGTGGCCTGTGGGGACTATACTTTCGGGGCACCCTTGGCAGCATCTGTCCTGGACCAGAGCTGCCCTGGGTCACAGCAGAAATGATGATTTTTCGGCTCCCACAAACCGTGTGCCCTGCTTCCATCTATGCCGTTAATTGGTCCCTTTTCTTACTCCTGGACCGAGGAGGCAGGCCTAGAAAAGGGATCTTTTTTTTTTCTCCCCCCACCGTTGGTATTTTCGCTGCGGCTCACGCCTCCTATGATTCAGTCCGAAATAAAAGCCAGGAGCCGTGAACACCCCAAGCAGGTGACTGGGAGGGTGCTTCATCTGATTCAGCTGCAATGACACAGGCTGGGGGCTCAGAGGCACGGACGAGGCTGCTGATGGGTTCAGGGGGTTTCAGTTCCTTCCTATGAAAAATCTGTTTCCAAAAATGCATGGTTTCTGGTGCATCCCGCCTGGGAAACTGAGCATAAAACGTGACTGCGGAGAGATTGCGAAAGGACGCGAGGTGTTCTCAGCAGCTGACGTGTTATTCTAGGCTCCAGGCAGGAAAACCTGCTCTGTGCGTGAGAGGGTGACTTCCCGGGGGGAGCAGCTCAGAATCAAGGAACCGCGGACACGATCCAGAGGGGGCCTTGCTGCAGCGCAATTGCAGGAAGGAGCCTGGGAGGAAGGCTCTCCTCAAAACGGTTCTAAATTGAACACGGGATTGGCAATGCCGGCCTGTTTCCTGGACAGCCGCAGCCTCCAAAGCGCTTGGGCTGCAAGGTGGGCAGAGAGACTTTGGACGTAAAGGATGACCAGCTCACACTTACAATGGCACCAGGACCCTGTTTAGTGGTTACTGTTGTAAAGAACGACTAGGTCCAAAACTGCAGGGTCCAAAATGGTGGCTCCAACGGAAACCCCCAAACTAATGCAAATGAAAAGTTTTGTTTGCTTGTTTTTAAAGTGAATCTAACACCTCTTCCTAAGCCTTACTTTTCTCCTAAAGTTTCTCCTAAGATCCCACAAAGCCTGATGCTATGGGTCAGTGCCCTGTTTTCAGAGTATTTGGAAGTACCATTGTCTGAACCAAGGCCAATTCAGATGCTCAAATTAAATGATTTGGGGGTAACAAGTTCCAGGGAGTGAACTGTTATTATTCAAGTGAAAGGCAGGAATCTCAATTTGGGGCAATTCTGCTCCACGCAAAACGTGTATCTGGAGATATATTGGGCTGTCACAACCCGTGTGGGGATGCTGCTGACATCTAGTGTGTGGAGGCCAGCAGTGCTGCAAACATCTGACAACAGCCGACCCCTCCGCCCCAGGGAAGAATTACCCAGACTGAAATATCAATAGCACTGTCACTGAGCACCTTTGGTTGACACTTATAATTTGAACATTTTACCTACTTAATTTTTCATCCATGCTTGAAGATCCTTGACACTTAAGAAAAATATTACAACTATATAAAACATTAGTATTCCAGTGATTCTGTCTCCGCCTGCATCTTGTGCTTCCCGACTTTCATGGAGATCCACATCTTACCACGCGGGCCGGGTGTGGTGGCCCAGTGGTAGAATTCTCACCTTCC